GGTCGAAAAGATTCTAATGAGCGTGCATGCATAATTCAAATAGAAGAAATCAAATGGAAACGAGTTATGAAGCAAATATCCACGACTGTATAAACAAAATAATAAGCAGTCAGGAAGTGCGATAACAGGGCACAAAACTGACATGACATTTGTTGTGTCCTGCTCAAGGCAGACCAACTCTTCGAAAGATGAGAATGAATCATCAGTAAAACGCAATGGCTTTTAAAGGGAAGCTGGCTGCAAAGGCGGCTTGAAAGGTGACATGTGAATGTGTTATGTGCAAGGCGCCAGAGGTACAGCAGTGCAGGGCCTAGGGTGCGAACAGTAGCACTAGCAGCCTGAGTGCCAAGACCCATGCAGGGAAAGGTGCTACAATATCACCACAACATTATTACTGAGACATTCAACGACCTGAGACCCAGTTCTGACACACTTCAAGTCCATGTGATTTCTTCTATTTTAATTATATTTATTGGCTCAGTATCCGAGTTAAGCATGCATAATTCGTTAGTACATAGCATTTCCTCCATACCCACATATCACCTACTGTAAATATACAAAATTTCGGCAGCTATTTAATTTCGGCTATATTCGGCACCGACCCAAAACACCTAAATTAAAACGCCGATGAAATTTTTCACAGCATCTGTCGCACTATACCGTGCCCTCTACCCCACGCCGAAAATAAATCGCCGCCGAAATGTCAAAAAACGTGAAGTGCCTAAATTTTGCAGCGCGGAAATTTTGTATATTTACAGTACCTCTATATTACATAATCTATTAGTCTGCTGGGCTCCCAGTGGACACGCCTCGTGTTCCAGTTTCTTTTTACGTACGCGAAATCAGAGCGCACATCACAAACCGACAAAGCTATGTGTTTTTTTTCAAGTGCGGCCGGGCATTACCGTAAAGTATCGCCAGAGTCTTGCGAGAGCGCCCCACCTTGATTTTACAGCCAGGGAAAGAAAATTTTAATTTTCGGCAATCACATTTCGTTGATTTCTTACTTTTTAGATGGGGTCCATGGCGGTTTGGAAAGCAATGTCGTAAATGTTCTATAGGAGAAGGACCCAGGACTGGACCACAATAACGTTTTTTCGAAAGCTGCCATATTAAAAGCAGTTTTTTTCCTATAACACGTGCATGTGTAGGGCTCCCTGGTCCACACAAGCCACTATAGTACTTGAAAAAAAGAAAGAAAAAAAAGGAAAATCGTATCGCAGAGTGCAACGGTGTGAGAACGTTTGTGTACTAAGGTCACACTAAGCAGGTTTTTGTGTGGCGCTCGTGCCCACTCGAAGGTACGGATTGTCTACCGAACGTGCACTATGTGTACAAAGTTCGTGTCGTATGACCTACAGACAGGACACCACCTCCGCAATACGACCACGAAAGGACGAGAAGGCGGGGCGCTCTGGCGGTTATTTACGGCAACCATGTACCGGTATACTGTAGAATCTTCGCTGACTGTGACCGTTATGGCATAATTTTTATGTTGTTTTGAGGAAATCAAGAATACCTCGCTCGATCCTGATCCCTAGTCGCGACCGCAAGAAATACTAAGAAAAGTTGAAAAAGTGAAAAATTCTGGCCTACAATCAAGTAATGCAGACTTTCGTTTATCACAGTCATAAACCGTATGTCACCGTATGGCCTTATATTCGAAACACCGCTGCTTTCAATCTCGGTCGTGCAGAACCAATAGGCTTCATTCTCAGGAACTCGGATTTTGTAATTTCCTCCCGCAGTTTGAGTTTCTTAAGATATGATACTAGGTGTGCTTCCACTGTGGCTGTTCTATTGGCCCTGTCTCCATGCATGATAGAACAGCCACAGTGGAAGCACACCTAGTATCATATCTTAAGAAACTCAAACTGCGGGAGGAAATTACAAAATCCGAGTTCCTGAGAATGAAGCCTATTAGTTCTGCACGACCGAGATTGTATGGACTCCCTAAGATTCATAAGACATCTTGACCACTGCTTTCCTAGCTATTTTAGATGCAAAACGACTCACCTACTACGCCATGTCATACAAGTTAAGGACCACACAGAAATTTCAATCTAACATGTTCACCCTTCCTGCTGGGCTGCAAGTTTGTTAGTATACTAATAAGTACACTTTTACAAAACATACTTCAAATATAAAGTAGAGGAAGAAAACCCATGGAAACGAGTTATGAAGCAACTATCCATTAATGTAACAAGATAATAAGCGGTCAGTACGTGCGATAACAGGGCACAAAACTGACAAGCTACGGAGACATTCAGCGACCTAAGACCTAGGTCCAACACATCTCCAGTGTGCAAACCAAATCTTGTTACATTCGTGGATAGTTGCTTCATAACTCATTTCCATGTGTTTTCTTCTTCTATTTTACATTTCAGACTGTCTCATTATCCGAATACTTCAAATATCATTTCTTTTATAAAAAGTCGGCAGGAATAGCACAAGCTTCCACGTAGTGAGCAACACACAATTCCTCAATGAACGCGGAAGGCGCACCAACCTCTTCTTCACATTTTATAAAGCCCATGCCTTTATAACCGAGACTGGCTTTCTGTTATCGAATATACCTCCTAGGTGCTGGCATACGGTAACATTTGTTACAACCTGTGCTGCAAAGTAAGGGGAGCGCGCCACACCACCTCATCTTTTCCTGTCCCCCGTGGATTACACGATTACGCGGCCGCGCAATTTTTCGCATAATCGAACATGAATCGCATTTTCTTACAACTTCCGCGTTGACGTCGCATAAACCTTGATTTTTTAGAAAAACAGCGAGTAAAGTCCGCGCAATGACCATCACGCCAAATTTTTGTCACAGTCTGCACGACAAGAAGTGTGCAGTCTGCTCTAGCTGCTGTCAATATCTACTAGTGCAGTAGTGGCGGCTGACGTCTGGACAAAGTTGTAGGAGCGATATCTTCTCAGGATCGAATCAAAAATGAGAATTGCCATCGCTGGAGCCTTTGCAGTATTCGCTCTCCAAACACCAGTAAGATGGAGGACAGCGATGGTCGGAAACCACCGAGGCAGGTGAAGTTCCGTACCCAGTGATTATTCCTGGGCTTCTCAACCAGCATACAGGACACGAGTAGATCAGCAAAAAGAAATATTATGGCATTTTTTGAAAGATAATTTAAAATGAATTCGAATCTGACATAATTATTAATAATTTTTACAATTTTCAACGGAAATCTTGATGCTGAAAGCCCGCATAATGATTGTATTCTCTCTGTTTTCCACGGTTTTTATTTGACATTAGTGAGGGTCTGCCACACGGTAAAACGTGCCAAAGTACGTATGGAAACTTCACCGCGGTACGGGATTTAGTTTGATACGGATTTTGTCATACCGTTTTCCATGTGAAGCGCGCTTCACACGGACCGGACTCCGTGTGAAAAGTGAGCATACAGAGTACATGTGGCGGGGTGTTCGTGCATGGTTCGAGCATGCTACATACAGCAGAACCGGTGCAACATACGAAAAATCTGTGTCGAACTTCACTGCAGTTGACACGGAGTTTGGTACGTAGTTCCGTGTAGCAGAACCTCTCTATTATCTTTCTTTACGGAGGTGTTGTTGCTGTTCATTTTGCTACTCTTTCTTTTTCCCTCCCCTAATTTTTATTTATATATATACCCAATGCTGAATGTGCAGGACCGTATTGTGCTTTCTGCTCTTTCCACTAAGAAATGGGGCATTTCATACGAAAACCTTTTTCTGACAAAGATCTAGCTAGTCATTAGTTCTAACCAAACTGAAGAAGCTGGAAAAGCAATTGCTGGCCATTGAATTACGACACGAAAATTGGTCAAATGCGCATGCATAGCACACATTCAACACCCTTCCGGGTCTACGGGATTCTACGGGATTTCATGGATCTCTACAAATAGCAAGTGGTCCATTCACGGGGACAGTCTTTCGCGGTCGCATTGTGTGAGATTGTGTCCTGTCAAAGACCACGCTAAAGCGGGATTCACAGAAGCTTTTTTGCGATGCGACAAGCGATGCGACGCGATCTGCGACGGACGCGTGCGATGCGAACTCGCGAAATACCATTCACAGAAGAAGTCAGTGATGCGACAAAGTCTTGCTGATTTGGCTACGTCACCATGATATTCGCGCGGTTTGATACAACTTGTACAAATTTATAGGCAACTCTTGAACCTTTGTACAACTTTGATGTAGAAAAGGTCAAAATCGTACGCCAAATCGCTTGTCGCATCGCATCGCATCGCAAAAGTTGAGCCAAGCTCAACTTCTGCGATGGCCTGCAATGGCCCAGTTGCGGCAGTTGCGTGGGCCGCGACATGGCTGCGATTTGGGGTTTTCCCGGTTTCGCGCCTGTCGCATCGCGTGTCGCATCACAAAAAAGCTTCTGTGAATCTGCTTTAGGGCCTGGTCAGACTGCGGCAAATTTTGGTTGCCTGACGAAAACAGAACAGCGTCCAGAATTTGAATCGCGATTGCACTACACATGTGGGGAGAGTGAAAATTCTATTTCTGGACGCTTTTCTGTTTTCGTCAGGCAACCAAAATTTGCGGCAGTCTGACCAGGCCCTAAGTGTGACCTTAGTACACCAAGGTTCTCGAACCATCCAAACTTTGTTGAATGCAGTCTGCCCTACGATTTCCGCTCCCGGCTGCAAAAAATCAGGGTGGTATGCTCTCCCGTGGTGATTATAGCGAATCACAATACATGTACTCTAATTTCACAAATTTTCGGTGTACTTTTACTTTCGGTACTTTCGGCGCATCTGTTTCATACCTAAAATTCCAATACACCGAACAAACACTAACACACATAATCCAATAGGGAACTGCTTCTCTGTACCGAAAATTTCTGTTCACCTAACCTAGCCTGTTGCTCTCATACCGAAAATATTGAGCACCGAAAATTTCTGAAATTAGAATTATTCGTCTATGCAACAATGGCCGGTCCCGAGGTTGCCGAATACTACTAGTAACAGACACTGGAGTGTACAAGTGCTTACCAGGTAGATTGTCTGCACGCCATGACTGGATACCAGCGTATGACGACAACGCTGGGTCACACGTCAGTGGTGCACCAAAGTCACCTTGCACGAATCCTAGCACCAGCAGCAGCAGCAATCCTGTGACAAGTTGAGACAGTGCAGCGTTCTTCGCACTCTGGCGTATACGCGGACATCTTCGTCCTGGCTCCATTGCCAAAGATACTTGTTCTCGTCAATCTCGAAGGTGGCGAAATGATGCTTTGCCAACTGCAAATTCAGCTCTTTATAGTTGAATAGTCACGCTAGCCCGAGCCCCACATGCACCGCGGTGCTTTTCGCCTACGGCAATGCTTCGCGATGCGTATTTCGACAGTCGCGGAATGGTGAAGGCCTGGGCATGTGGCCGTGGGTTGGCCCTCCTTTCTGACCACGAGTACGAGGGGGGCCCTGCAACACCACTGGCCACAGCTACCACAAGAGTAGACTCCGCTACGGTACAAGACTTCAGTGGACTTTGCACTTACACTCCGTATAAAATTCGAGTCTGGGAATGAGTACAGAAAAAAAGCTCGAAACTTCGAAAACTTGGATGCGAAATGACTTTTTCTCGAAGTTATTTGTATCTTATAGTACCGTACCGTATATGCAGCTCAGTCTCAAGCAGGGGCTGTAAAATTACTACTCCCTGTAGTCAAATGCGTACCGAGGAAAGAGAAAGTTACTTTCGCAAATCACTGCAACTTCGCGTCCAAGTTTTCGAAGTTTCGAGCTTTTTCGAAATAGATTTTCGCGAAATATCACCACCACAAAAAGTTCGAATTTTCGCATTGCTAAACGTCCTTATTACAAGACTCTGTTTTTCTTTTTCATTTCGTTTTCCCACTCTCACACACACATGCTCACATGTGCACAGTCAGTTCTGCCGTCGTGAGTCACATACGAGAATAATAATAACACGCCCCTCGCCGTTAGGGGTGCGCGGATTATTCCCGGAATAATTTGGGAATACTATCGTTGAGAAAATTTGGGAATTTTAGGGGAATTCTATCGATCTTTTGCCAGATCCATTGACCTTCAGAAGAGTTTTGGGGGAATTCTGTCCATTTTGACCTGCCAGAGGCCCTGAGAACAGAGAACAAGCGCGCATCCATGGACGCAGCCTGAGTACAGTGAGTAGATCATAGTAGCTGTGTACAGTCATCTAGTACATGTACATGTAGTGTACTCGGATCCTGCATGCAGCGTCATGTGTCTCCGTGGATCCCGCAGCCTCAAGGTCTCTGTCGACTCTACCACCCCTGCTTCTCTTGTTATTATTATTATTATTATTATTATTTATTCTTCTTTTACTAGGGAATTCCCAACAGGCGTCAGCGCCTTTTTACAGGGAACCCTAGGTATAATTTGATGGATGAGCGAAATTCAGCTGGTGAACTAGACATGCGGCAAGCCGGTGGAAGTGTATTCCACCTGGCAGCGCCCAAATAAGAAATTGCACTAAAGCCATATCGGGTGTTAGCGGGGGGCAGAACAAGAGCAGCAGAGACTTGGCCACGGGTGGTGGCTGCAGTGCGAGCACCATGGGCGCGCAAGGTAAAGCGGTCTCGCAGAAGAGGACTAGCAAGTCCATTCAGGCAGCGGTAAACAAATACATAGGTTTTGAAGTTGAGACGTTTCTCAAGGGCGTACAAGTTAGATGACTGTATAGAAGAGTGGTGGGAGTCATTCTATCCAACGAAAATATTCTCTTTAATGCTACGCGGCTGGCAGTAAGAAGCTTGTCATATAGGGTTTGTGATAAGCAATGAATATATGCAGTGCTGCCAAACTCAAATGTGGACTGAATGATCGATAAATAGAAAAGTCGTTTGCCAAAAATGCTGATATTCTGCTTTGCATGGACAAATGCTCCGACCTTCCTATTGACAGTTGCACATACTGCATCCACTTGGGTTGAGAAAGACAGATGTTCGTCAACCAGTATTCCTAAGTACCGAGCGTAAGCAGATGGGGCTATGGAAGTGCCCCGGCAGTTGACTGCGGTGCCAGGTGGCAGCTCCTTGCCCGGTCGCCTGAGCAGGACAAACTGAGTCTTGGAAGGGTTTAACACCAGTCCCTTCTGATCTAGGTAGCGATCCAGAGCGGCAAGGTCAGCACTCAGCTGGGTTGTGATGATCTGGATGGACTTGTGCCTGATATAGAGTGTGATATCATCGGCATAAAGTTGATTCAATGCATGTTGGAAGCACTGTGGTGCATCACGGGTGTAAATGCAAAATAGCAGTGGGCCGAGCACGGAGCCTTGTGGGACGCCTCTTGTGCAAGGGCGGGCCCCACCTAGCTCTTGTCCTACTCTTACTCGCTGGACGCGTCTGGTCAGGTAGCTTGCAAACCAAGCAAGTGCAGTGTCAGCAATGCCAAGCATCTTCAACTCGTCAATGAGCTCTTGATACTTAACTCGGCTTGTTGCTGCGGAGGCAGTGATTCCAGGGCACTAGCTCTTGCAGTGTGACTTGGCATTCGTGTGGTCTAACAGCAATTTTCATTTACACTTTTGTTATTAGTTTGCTTCACACCTTTTATCAGTCATTACGTATGATTTATAATGCAGTGGCAGTACCAGGCGTGGGCCATCCCCTGGATTATCAAAATGGGTGCTTTATCATTTTTCTGTTGTTTTTACACTTCTTCGTGCTTTGTAATAAAAGTCTCTAACAAGATCCTGCATGCAGTGATCACGTGCCTGACCGTCCATTTTGCATACTAAAGAGCATGCGCAAGGCACGGTTCGTGCTGGGGTTCTTTTTTGGGGGGGAATTCTGGAGAATTTTTTCGATGTTTTGGGAGAATACTTTCGAAGTTCCGCGGGAAATGCCCGAAAGCATAATATCGGGTGCGTGCGAGCATAATCCGCGCACCCCTACTCGCGGTCTCCCTGATTTCTTGTCAGGGAAGTGAGAGAATCCTCTGTGAAGTGTGATGCCGTATCGCACTGCGGACGCGTGCTCGTCTGCTCGACCTTGTTGGGAATGTACGAGGTGATCTGCTATAGAGAGGTTCCGCACTACGTAAAGTTGAGCAACTTTACGTAAGTGGGCGGGAAAAACCCGTGAATTCGCGAGTTTGCACTCCACTTACGGAAAGTTGTCTACGGAGAGTACGTTGCCATCGTCCAGCACCGCTCAGCCGACCTGATCGTTGCGGAGTGTGAACTGGCCTGAAATGGCTCCTGGGTCATAATTATTTATTTTGTTTTTATTATCCATAGCTCAGTGGTTAGAGCATCGCTGGCTACAAGCGAGGGTCCCTGGTTCGAGTCCTGGTGGTGACAGTCAATTTTTTCTTCAGACTTTTCCCGTTTGTCTCTTTCCCTCAAACCAGTTAATATTTTATGACTTGGGGCTCCCCGCGTGCTAGTTTGTACGTGAAGTGTGTGGGTTACAGTGAGGGCTGCGTCCCACCCGCCTGTGTGGATTCACAGGAAGTGTGAGTTACGAAGTCTGAAGAAAATATTGAACGGCCTCTGCTGGGATGACGACTACACCATAGCTCAGTGGTTAGAGCATCGCTGGCTACAAGCGAGGGTCCCTGGGTCGAGTCCTGGTGGTGACAGTCAATTTTTTCTTCAGACTTTTCCCGTTTGTCTCTTTCCCTCAAACCAGTTAATATTTTATGACTTGGGGCTCCCCGCGTGCTAGTTTGTACGTGAAGTGTGTGGGTTACAGTGAGGGCTGCGTCCCACCCGCCTGTGTGGATTCACAGGAAGTGTGAGTTACGAAGTCTGAAGAAAATATTGAACGGCCTCTGCTGGGATGACGACTACACCATAGCTCAGTGGTTAGAGCATCGCTGGCTACAAGCGAGGGTCCCTGGTTCGAGTCCTGGTGGTGACAGTCAATTTTTTCTTCAGACTTTTCCCGTTTGTCTCTTTCCCTCAAACCAGTTAATATTTTTATTATTATTTGAACAAACGGCGAGGAGACAACAATTTGATAACCGCAATCAGTAATACAAGCTGGATCGACATTTGTGTACACTGTATTCATGTATTGTAAAACTGTGGAGACAATGTGCAATAAAACGATGAAAAAATGTGAAGAAATTGTGTAACGAAAGAAAGGGATTCAAACAAGTTTTCGTACAACACTCATCAGGAATCATCGTTGTACTAAAGGACACTGAAACAAAAATTGAACTATTATAGAAAATCTAAGTTAGAGAAATAACACTAAGAGCAACAACAGTGAAATTTACAAGTGTGAATTTTAACAATCAATTCTCAATTCATGGATGACATGTGACATGGTGTCAACCAATTTTATGAATTAAAGCGGGATTCACAGAAGCTTTTTTGCGATGCGACACGCGATGCGACAGGCGCGAAACCGGGAAAACCCCAATCGCAGCCATGTCGCACTCCACGCAACTGCCGCAACTGGGCCATCGCAGGCCATCGCAGAAGTTGAGCCGCTTTTTTTTTGTTGGCTCAACTTTTTGCGATGCGATGCGATGCGACAAGCGAGTTGGCGTACGATTTTGACCTTTTCTACAGCAAAGTTGTACAAAGGTTCAAGGGTTGCCTATAAATTATTTGTACAAGTTGTATCAAACCGCGCGAATATCATGGTGACGTAGCCAAATCAGCAAGATGTTGTCGCATCACTGACTTCTTCTGTGAATGGTATTTCGCGAGTTCGCATCGCACGCGTCCGTCGCAGATCGCGTCGCATCGCATTTCGCATCGCAAAAAAGCTTAAAGCGGGATTCACAGAAGCTTTTTTGCGATGCGACACGCGATGCGACAGCCGCGAAACCGGGAAATCCCCAAATCGCAACCATCGCGGACCCCACGCAACTGACGCAACTGGGCCATCGCAGGCCATCGCAGAAGTTGAGCTTGGCTCAACTTTTGCGATGCGACAAGCGATTTGGCGTACGATTTTGACCTTTTCTACAGCAAAGTTGTACAAAGGTTCAAGAGTTGCCTATAAATTTGTACAAGTTGTATCAAACCGCGCGAATATCATGGTGACGTAGCCAAATCTGCAAGACTTTGTCGCAAAGCTGACTTCTTCTGTGAATGGTATTTCGCGAGTTCGCATCGCACGCATCCATCGCAGATCGCGTCAAAAGCTTCTGTGAATCCCGCTTAAAGCGGGATTCACAGAAGCTTTTTTGCGATGCGACACGCGATGCGACGCGATCTGCGATGGATGCGTGCGATGCGAACTCGCGAAAT